TGTTTTTTGCCATCACAAGGACTGTGTTGTTCATAAACATCACCCGTTCTTTTGCATGAGCCAGCAGAACGCATTGGCATTGGCGGTTCCTGGGCAACAAAGAACTACAATGAATCCTGATTGGTTATACACAGATGTGCACACACAGATATACATTTGGGGATGGGAATAGCAGAAGGCACAATCCTCCAGGAAGACCTCTTGCACAAGTGTACTGAAACAAATGGGGAAGTGGTCAACTTTAATCTGCAGGCACTCCTCATGACAGCCACACTATCAAAAAGAGTCCCAAAAGAGCTATATGTATCTCAGTGTATCTATATTCTCCAGCAACTGTGAGGTTCACAGCTAAGCTTAAGGGAACAGGGAACTCTGGGCTTTCAGGGGTCTCAGATGAAAAGATAAAATCTTTCCTGCTCATCAAAAAGCCCTGACCTTGTGACTATGTGATCCTTGGTTCCACTATGGCAGTGTGTGCAAGTTTATGCTCAAAATGTGTAAAGTAAGCTGATATTGCAGGTCCTCAAATACTGAATAAAGAAGGGAATGAACAGGAGAAAAGGTTTTTTTGAGCATTGATTCAACAAAAATTTGTAGGCAAATGCCTGTAGAACCTCAGTTTTCATAAGAACTTCACATAGCTAATGAGAAATTAAAACTGGACAGAGACGCAAGCAGAAAGATAGTTGTTTGTTTGGTGTTTTTTGCCATAATATAAGATGATTGGTTATAGGATATAGCTGGTGCAAGGGCTACCCTAATAACTCAGTGTAGAACAAAATAGCAAAACCTAGAACCCAAAGCAGAACTTTAGGAAATTTGTTCCCTAGTTTCATCAAATATTGAGCTAAAAACTGAATCCAAAGTAGCAGGCAGTATGCATTTTTCTTGTACTGGAGGAAGGAGATGGGTAGTTCCCCAGGGACCCTTGACCAGTAATTCCCACAAGTTGGCAAGCTGAATGACTGTTTATGAACTGCTGCCCAGTGCCGTTCCACAGCACTCTGTCTTGATTGCTCCTTCTTCCTGGGCTTACACCTGAACTAGGAACTACTTCCACATCCCCCCCCCCTTTTAAAAAAGCCCTCCCCATTGTTTTCCAGCACAGACATTTTGGATCCTTAGGACTCTACAAATCCAACTCCTCTGGTGAGAAGGAACAGGATTCTGCACAGCCACATTCAGCCCATTGTTACTGGCTGTTGCAATTTGCCCTACAGCCATTCCTGCAAAACATGCTACTGCTGTTTTCCTTGCAATTGCGGTGGATTGAATCTTTTGGTGGGCCATGTGCCTTTCTGGTGCACTACTTGGTGTACATCTTCCTTTTTTATGGATTCATTTTATGAATTGTCTCCGAAGGTCCCCTGTGCTGAGTTCTTGTCAAAACACTGTCCCATTTGAGGGGATAAGCTGCTCTAATGGTGACTGAATTGTTCTTTCTTAACACTCTTGTGTTGTTTTACTGTAATGGCTGCTTTCAGCTTTTCATTTTTCAAACACCTTGAGATCTCTGAACCTCTGATGGATTGCCTCCCTATCAAGGGCCCTGTTTGTGCAGTGTTTGGTCAGTGAGTATAGAGAGATAATACAAACTTCTAGTGGTTCATTTCCTGCATGTGAATTAAACTTTGCCCATTCAAAAGTCAACTCTGACTTCATCATAAAATGCTTTTCAAAACTGTGTATCACTATATTATAGTTGACTGTCCCTCACTCAGCCTACATGAAATCAAGATACCATCTTCCTGGTCCTTTATCAGTGCTGTAATCCACTCTTCTGCAGGTTTGCCTTTTAACTCTGGAGCTATCCAGATTCTGTCAAATCTGCACTTCCATTCTGTCTCCCCACTAGGAATTGTAGTGGGAAATGGATAGTAAAGCTGCTGCCAGTTTCTTTTCTAGGCAGAGATGTAAACCTTTGCACACATTCACAGTTCTTGGTGTGAGTTGATATTCCTTTTCTTTTTATTTCTCTTTTAGGTTCAGGTGGTAGGTTTCTGAATCTGTATCCCTGCCATCATATGTTGTTTCCCAGATCTTTGGGTGTCTTTAAGCAGTAAATTCCATGGCAAAGTGAGTTCCTGTTTATCAAGTGCCTGTATATTGCAAGGGACCAGGAGATGGTCTTTGCAATTTTCCCTTCTTCCTAGAGCCCCTTGAATGTCTGGAAAGTAGCATTTGGCCCTGCTGCCTTCCAATTCAGAGATCCTATTGCTTTCCTGAAGTGATAATTGAATTATTAGCTATTTTTGCATTTCAGCTTTTTACTGTAGGCTTGGGTTGTCCCTCTGCTCTTCCTTCAGGCTGCCTCATATGCTTTGAACTGCCCACCAGAAAACCTGTGCAACGCCACCTCTCTTCCTTCCTACAAATCTCTTCTAAAAATCCAGCTTTTCCATTGAAGGTGTCCCTAGTTCTTATACTTGACTGTAACGCAGATGGTAGCTAAGCATATGCAAGTCAAAGAACCACATATTGCTTCCATGTTGCTCCTGGCTTCACTTCTATGGCCCTGCCTCCACTCATGTTGAAATTTTGATTGTAAAGGCCTTGGGGAAAACTCTTGTCCTCTGCAAAGTGCCATTCACTTTGATAGCCCTACATAAATGGCAACACCAACAACATGAGGGAGCATTTAACACAGATCCATCCAGCTTGCATGTGTGTGTGTGTGTGTGTGTGTAAGTTCACAGCTCACTATACAGTTCTCTACCTGGAATTTTACCAAGTCCTGGGGTTTCTTCCTCCTTCTTTCTCATTAGCTCCATGCACTGCTTGACATGAAATATGAGCTCCGGTGTCATCAACAACGCAGGGCACTTTGCTCACAGTGTGTGGCATGTTAACATGAATGTCCCCGTTGGGCTTGAAGCAGAGGGAGGCCTGGTGACTCTTGTGGCAGTGGCTTTCCGCAAGGGGGCAGTGCTGTGCTATGCAGAATTTGCATCCCAGCTGTTCTGATTGCAGATGTTTTCTCTTTAATTCTAAAGTAAACAATCTCCTTCGATTAACGAGCAATACTTGAGTAATCATTAAGTGAAAATGGAGAGACTTCCCAGGGTTTAAAATAGCAATTATATACCTCAAATCTGTCTAGGATAAGCATTTTGGCTTTGTTTGGTCTACCTGAATAGCTGCTTTTAATATCTGGACAAGGTGCTTCTACAGCTTCTCTAGGAATATTGGGGGAGGTGAGATGGTGGAAGCACCTTTACATTTGGAGAAAAATGAAACCCATGAAACTTGGGGATATTTGTGGGGAAAACTGTGGGGAGTCGATTAAAATGGACATCGCCTGTTATAGGCTTTTCACCTCTGTGCTTTTGCTCTTGCAAGCCAAAAGCATACCTCAGATTTAGAGATTATGTGACTTGTGTCACATAATTTTCATAATCAGTAACTTTTAGGTTGAGAGTTGGCCTTTAGAAGGAGTTCCATGTTTTGGTGAAACATTTGTCCAAAAATGATCAACAGTATTCAAAAAGATCAAAGTTTGTTTTAACAATATTTGGCACACATCTCCGCACAAGCATTTTCTATCTTGCATCTGGTCTACAAATAACTGATCTTACATGATGGCATTATTTATTTTCACAAGAAGGTAGATTAGTTAAAAGTTTTCAGATGCTTTTGCTCCTTCACTGCTGTATTGTGGATCTTATTGTGCTGCAAGCCACCCATGGCCCATGTGGGGGCATATAAATGGAATAAAACAAACAAACAAACGTGTGGTGCTAACTCCCCCCACTTTTTGCCAATGATCTGTGATTAAGGTTATGCGATAGAAAATGGGCTTGTGGGGCAGCACAGCAACGCACCATGGAGCAAGGTCTCCTCTTGCTGAGCTTAGCCATACTGCCATTCTGAGTATCTCATCAGCGACTCGTTCCCAGTTATCTACATTTTGCCAGTGAATTCAGGATAAGATGGCCAAATGTGGAGCTACTGTCCTTGTTCTACGATGTGTAGCTGGAGCTCCTTGTTCTTCATTGAACACATTGGTATGGGAACTCTCTCTAAATATCTGTAGATGCCCCAGGGAGAGAGAGGGACAGGCTGGTGGCCTCAGGAGAGCTCACTGCAATCATGTTTGTGCCATTGCTGGGATCCAGACTGGGCAGTACTGGGGGGGTGGCTCTGAGTAGCAAAAGGGCTGCAGAACAAGGCCTTGGGGGCCACATGTTGGACCATCCCAGCTTCCCCTATCTTCTTATTCAGAAGTAGCCTCACCAGCCTCCATCGAAAGTCACTACCACAGGGTTCTCCTCATCTTCTCCAGTCCCAGTTTCTTTATGCAGTAAGCTAGCTACCTGCTGGTCCTAATCTTATACATATGTGTTATTATCATCATATCTTTGTAATCATCTTTGGCTCGTGCCTTGATGCTAATTTCGCATTTCACAGAAGAAGCCCTGGTACAGTAATAGTCCTTCTATTTTTTCCTGCAGAAGGCTGAACATTGCTATCATGCTGGAAGCTGTAGGTTGAATAAGCAGCGGGCAACCCCGGAGCCACAAGCCCTCTCCTGACATCTGCCCATTGGCCTCCCCTTTGCCAACACAGAGCTGAAAGAGGAGCATACAGAAAGTAGTGCTTGAGGTAATAGGACTGTCCAGTGGACCAGTTTATGGGGTGGTGCGGGTGGCTTTGGCCCACCATTACCCCACAGCACAGTTATCAAAGGGGTTGTTCAGTGAAGCTAGTCCTAAAGATACCCTGTTTGGATCCAGCTTCGTGATGAGTATATGATTCAGTTGGGTCAGGCTGTCATGTACCCAGTAATTAGATCATTGCAAAGTCCCACTGCTATATCCTTATGGAGGCATTTCATTAGACCTCTGCAACATCTCTCTAATTACACAAAACTACAAGTGGACTCTGGGGGATGGTGGAGGACAGGAAGGCCTGGAGGAATGTTGTCCATGGGGTCACGATGGGTCGGACATGACTTTGTGACTAACAACAACAAGACCACGAGAATAACACACATACAGTAGTTGTTGCCCTTTGATTTATTGCTAGACTACAGTAATACAAGCTGTATAAAAATATTTTACAAAAAAAGTAAAATCACAATTAAACTGGAGATTAAAACATTACATGGGGGATTATAACAGATACAAGCTCCCATTCAGTTTTTTTTTTATTTTAAGCTACAGAAATTTTGAACAAGCAGTTTTATTTAAAATACATAACTATAAAAAAGCAATTAAAAAGCTGCTTTCCGTTTGGTGTCTTTTTGTTGATGATGCAGGACATATACATGGCTAGCTGCAAATATAGACTAGATATTTACCTCGGAGCACCTGGAGGTACTCTCCCCCCACCCCACATACACTCATAGCAATTTCCATGTAATCCAAAGAGTCTTTCTTCTCCATGTTGAATTGTTCCTCCACAGATGATGCCAAAACAGAGGTTTCATTTTAATTGTTTTATCTGGGAATGTTGAAGGCAAGCAGAAAGTGGGAGACAGCCATCTTTAAACCAAGCATACAATCTGATCACTTTCATTTGGCTTAGACAGGTAAGAAATAAAAATCGTTGGTATCCCTTAAGAAAAGCCCTGCTGGGTTAGATCCTAGGGCTTTCTGGTCCATTATTTTGTTGGATCAGCCAACCCCTCTCTGGGAAGCTCACGAGGATAGGACAGCCTTTCCTCACGGTTGCTTCCAGCAGCTGGTTTCAATGGTGCAAAGTTAATATCTAATAGCTGTTGATATCCCAGTGCTCAATGCTTCATCTCCACTCTGGGAAACATCTGTTATGTATACATTAACTGTGGAGTCTTCTACTACTGAACAAAAGCCGGGTCATTACACTTTATTTCTTGGTGCTCACTGTAGTTATTCTTGATTTATAACTGGCAGTTTGAGGACACAGAAAGTAATCATCTAAAGTCCTCCAGCTCTGCTGGATCAAGTTTGGAATGATTTGAGATGAACACACATACAAATTAGTGCAAATAAATTCAATTAAATTCAGTAACCGTAGCTTTCAATCTGATGCAGCACACAACCAAACTCTTGTCCCTCATATGATGGCAGCCCATATTAGGAATAGCCAACTTGATCTGTAAAGGATCCGAATAAATTCATCATAAGCTGGAAGGCTATTGCTAATTAGTATGTATTAGTGGCTTGCAGAATACAATTTGCATATCCTCTTCTTGAACATGAAAGGCACCCATTGTACAGGCTGTTTTACAATATACTTCTGATCCTCTTTATCGTCACATGTGACAGACCTGAGTTAACACTTTGAAAATCTTGGAAAGTTTAAACAATCAATGTATCTGTCCTATTGCTTTTCTCCTTCCTAAGCATTTTTGTAATCAGATACCCATCTTTGTAAGAATGAGGACTAAGAACTATTTTTTTTAAAGAATGCTAGGATTGTCAAGATTCTCACAGATCACACACAAGGGCATTTTGAGGCATTTGGCATAATGACTATATATTCCATTCACTTTGGTCTACATGAGATTGTACAATTGCTGCTAGCACCTTCATTTTACAATCTGTCCAATACCTGAAAATACTAATGAGGTTGCTGTTTTTTAATTGTTACACTTATTATACACAAGGAAGTAGAAACAGCTAAACAAAATTATAACTGGCAAAGAGAGATTATTGATTTGTCACTGAAGCAGATAATGGTAATTTGCAATTTCAAGTGAAACATTCAATGGAGCAAATAGTTCCTTTATGCTGTACTTAAAATGTCAATGAGTCAAGCAGAAATGTAAATGTAGATATATGGATTTCTGGGTCATACCAAATAGCCGCTAATGTATCCATAAATGGTAAAATACATTCTGAGTCTATGGGAGTACTTTTAAGGATTTCATAGAATCACAGAATTGAAGGGGCCTTGTAGAAGGTCTGTTATCCCCTGCTTAATTCATTGGAAGGCCATGAGTGGGGGCAAGTGGTCAGGCTTGGGGATCTTCATGGAGCCCCAGCAGAGCTGTTTCACACCCTGTTCTCTGCAGTGCCACACCCATTGATTTCAAAAGTACGTACTTCCAAGTAAGAGCACTTATTAAAATTGGAGCTAAAAATGCAAAACTGACTATTTATAAATACCAGCCTGGAGAAGCTGACATTACCTGTGGGAGTTAAAAAGCATAGTAGACAACTTCTTCTTTTAAAAAGATCTTATAGTACAATATATATATTTTCCCCAAAATACATTGTGCTAACTAATTTCAAGAACTATTTGAGATACATAATCAAGAAGCAGCTTTTTTAAAAAAACACAATAACCTAGTGCTGTCTTTGAAAATAATCTACATTTAGAATGCAATGTATTCCAACAAGAAAATAGAAAAGACGCATATTTACAAGGGGCACAATCAAGTCAAGCCTAAGCATTTTTCCAAGTGTCAGTCACTCTGCTTGATGAGTGAGGCACACAATTAACTCCTTCCTGCTTTCTGGAATCAATGGCTTTGTGTAATCTATATTACATATTTATTACATTAACATATTATCTAGCAAAAGGTAGAGAGAAAAGTGCTTTGCTTTGGCTGGATTGTGCCTACAGGCAGTATCAACTGAGTGCAAACCACGACTATTCAACATTCTTTATGCCACTACAAACACATCCAACAGACACTTCTTCTTATTACCACTGAAATCCAGATGATTTTATTATGGTCAAAACAAAATAGAAGTAAAAGGGAAGAAAGAGTTACTTTGTAATTAAAATGTGACCATTTCAATTACAAATTTCCTTCACGCTGGTTCACCTTTAACATTCTCTACTTCCAAGATACTTTCAAAAATGAGGAAAGACCCTTCCTAACATCAGCCTTCTGTCCAAATACCCTCTGATTGTTTACATGTTAAGATGGATGGTTTCATTTTCTCTATATTGTCTATTTGGTGCAAAAGTTTATAGAGCTCATCCTGCAATTTGCAAAGCTGTGATAGAAAAGTGGAAGTTGAAGAAAAAAAGCAGGGGGAGGGGGGGAGAGAGAGAGAGAGAGATGATCTTTGGATTACAAGATGTTGCTTATATTTTAGCACAGTATAACATTGATGGAAAATGCATTAGTTTTTCACCCTACAGACAATGCCGTGGAAGGACTTTTGGTACAATGGCAGGAAGGCACTGTAGTGAAAGATTCAGATAACCGAGGAAAGACAGAATTTCCTCATATGCAGCTATGGCTGTCTTCCAGATAAGCTGAGAACAAATTACTCATACAAGGCAATTAACTTGTCCAAGGTGAACCTGATATTACCCTAGACCTGTCCCCGGTCCCTGCAAAAGCCTTGCTTCAACATTACAAACATTAATACTGTAATACTATTGCAGAACCAATAACAACAACAACAAAACAACGATGACAATAATTTAGTACATGGATGATTTCAGATTTGCCTATGCTGCTGCCTTAGACTAGCATAAAGAGAGAGATTTATGTAACTGCTTCTAAAAGAACTTCTTTGTTTCAGAAATACACACACACACACACACACACACACACACCTCGGGTTAAGGCTTTGCTACTAACAAACAATTGCAAAATATTCGAAAGCAGTTACAGTGAGATATTTTGCTTTCACATAGCCAGCCTTCCTTTTCTTTATAGTTTTCTTAACATGAAGTCTATACTATACATGTATTATATGAAATTATAACCCAGCCAGAAAGGAGGACTTTGCACTGTACCTAGGAATCTCCTTCTCATTTCTTTCCAAGGAAGCACTAAACAAACTAATAGGACTATAATTCATTGGTCTTTCATCTTCATGGGACATGGTAGTGAGAGTAAAGGACATTGTGATGGCATTTTATGTTTCTGTATTTTTAAAGACAAAGTTCATGAGAACAGTTAATCAAATGATTGCATCAGCAGGTGCTGAAGTTCTGGGCTTGTCACCTACTTGGGAATTATGTTCCCAAGCAATGATACACTGACAGGATGCCCCTACAAGAATGCAGACCAAGCTATGAATTCTTCAGAGGCAGCATGTTCAGTAAAGAGAAAAGGAGGCATGGACCTGATGGTGAGAGAAAAGGAAAGAGTAGGGACCCAAGATCTTTGAAAACAGGGCAAACCAAACATTAAGCTGCCCTGCTTGAATGGAAATGTGATTTTAATGTAGCACTTTCAACAGGTAATTTTAAAGTGAAACAGAGCAAAGATGATCAAACTCCATCATCTAAAAATCAAGAGTCAGAATCCTTGGATTAAAGTTGACTTGTAGCTGCACTTATTTTGGAACTTAGGTATAATCTTTGGAGAATTCAAATGTAAACCTCAAGCATGTTTGGTAACTGGGGCTTCCCTAGAAATAAGCAGTTTGGGAATACAAGAGTAGACTGTAAAATTATAGGTAGTGTCATATCTGTTATTGTCATTTAGTCATTTTGCAATATTTCCTTTTTTAAGTGCCCAATAAATATTGGGTGGGATCCAAATAAATAAATAACTAGTTCTGCTTTTCCAAGGGAGCTTTGTGCTTGTCTGTCTCAAACAGCAAACCACCATACCAAATTTCCTTTTGAAACGTCACCTACTAAATATGCAGTCTAGTCCTCTTACTGTATAAACTTGATCACAAGTGTACATGTCCCTTTTGGCTTATTCAACATGAACGTCCAAAAGCACTATAAAGTTCCCAAGGGTTTGGTTTATGTTGCTGTTGTTTTTGGTGCTTAGTGCTATGCCTAAGTTGCACTACATCTTTACATTTTTCAGCATGCTATGTTGGCTTATCTATAACAAGTCAAAAGAAACAACTTTTTAAAAGTGAAGAACAACAATGGCTATAAAGGAAAAAGAAAAGAAAAAGGTCAAAACAACAGGATGTTTTTCTAATATATTACTCCATATGAAAATGACCCCAAGATGTACTTTATATAGCAAGACAGGGGCCTGTTGCTGAAATGAATATTGCATAATTGATTTCAAAGGATAATTTCAAGTGAAATTGAGAATCATCGGTCCTAGCCTCCAGTCAGATTTCTAGTTTGCAACCTGGGGAATTCCCCTATAGCTGAAGATCTCTGGGTCGTTTAAAATATTTATATCTGCTTCTGCCTTTTTCTGTCCCTGTCTTTTCATTCTCTCCTGCCTTCCCTCATCTACTCTGAGGTCTTCTTGGAGTCCTCCATCTAATGCCAAGCAGGGGAAAGTGTGGGGAAAAGACAGTGGTGGTGGGAAGTGGATGGCAGAAGTCATGACTGTCCTATCTTCCAAGTCAGCTTTAAAGGTAAAAGGATTTATAAGGATTTATAGATAAAGGGAAACTCTCTAGGTTGCAATCCTACCATCAAGCCTGTTTAACATACATGAAAAGAATGGGCAGGCAACTGTTTCATTGCCTGGAAAATGCCCCTTTTTAAGCTTGTGAGGAAATGCATTACTTTTGTAGAGACAGCCTAAAGTTGTGTCGACCTTCCCCTGAGTTTTAACTGTTCTGTCATGGTAATATTTAAATATAAATGAGCAGATGAGCAGAGATGTTTGTTGACTTCACCTTCCTCAGACAAGTCCTTCACTTTGATAAATTTTCATAAGAATTCTTAAAGCTCCTGATATCATGTTAGCAAAATGCTTATTTACTACTTTTCTGTTATAATGTTATTATTAGCCCTTATATTATCCTGCTGTATGCAACAATATATTTCATTTTCCATATATAGCTTTTTTTCTTTTTCTATTTTTTTACAAAGTCAGGAAAACTGTCGTATTGCAAAGAAGAGAGCATGAGATTAACTACAGATTTCTGGTATTACCCACATTAACTTCAACTGTGATTCATAGTCACCGGCACCATATATTCTAACTATGTATCAGGAATTATGCTTAGCTGATGTAATGATGGGCAAGGATCTGAGTCACACAAAGCTGCCAGTACGGCGTTTTAAGCTGGTGAAATGCTACATACTTGACTCTGGAGGCAGGGCTTGCCTTTTTTCAGTGGCAGACTCTCTGAAAGCATTCTCCCTTGCTAGTTTGGCATATGAAATTGACTTGCCAAAACGAGTTTTCATTTTGTTCCTACATCCCAAGAACAAAGCTTCTGTGCGATATCACTCTAAAAGCAGATCAACTTGATCAAATGTAAAAGCCTTTGATGGGAAATTTAACTCTTATCAAATTTTGCAAAGGTCTGTTTACTTACAACTTGCTCATCTAACTTTCGAAATCTAGCTATTACCAGTAATGCACAAATGTATCCATGCAGATGAAGTGGTCCCCCTTTCTGTGCCCCTATACACATTGGCATGCTGGGAAACACAAGTCCCACAGTATGAAAAGGAAGTTGCTGAGAAGGCCACTACAAATCCACTGAGTTGGAACAATCGAAAATTAGAAATGGAGCTATGGACTGTAGTTACTTGTCTTCCTTCTGAATACTGTTTCGGTGGCCAGAGAATTTGACCAGATACTTCCTTCTCTTCTGTACCTCAAGAATTGTGGGGAGAATCCAACTGTTTAGGTTGGATCTTCCCCCTATAAGAGGAAGGGTCCTGCTTGCTGAAGCTTCCCGTGCAAGATTTTTGGGGGTATTCTATACCACAACTTGCCTCATTCATCAGTATGGTATCCTCAGGAAGCTGCAGAGACTGCCATGAGAAAGAGGGAACAACAAAGTCCACTTCCCCCAGCGATTTGATCCAGCATTAATCTGGATGCAACTAGTCAGTAATTTTACAATGCTTTAAGCAGCTCTATTTGACTGAAAGTATTTGATTCAATCTACACATGCAGCTAAATCATGTGGTACAGAATTCTTGGGACTGGAATCTCATTCTGCTTATGGGAAACAGCATGTTCAAATGCCCCACTGTTTGAAGCAAAAACAAAATAAAAGCTATCAGACTCTCGTAGCATCCTTCTGCTGACATACCCTTTATCCACGGGCAGGGAAATGTTGTGGAGAAACATTCAAAATCGAAATCTACAGTCAAAAAGGATGAGGTTCCAGGAATTCTGTACCACGTGGCTGTCCTAAGTGTGCACACTAACTCTTGGTTTCCAATATTGTGCTAGAATAAGTAGCTGAGAAAGCAGATTGGCTAAAATACAAGGGGTGCAAGGGAGTCCCAAAATGCTGTGGAATCTCCTTATAACAGAAATATTAGAGAAACCGATCTGCATGCTGAGCACACATCAGTAATAATCCTTCCTAGGAAATTTAAACATTCTTCGTTGGAAAAAAAAAATCCACCACTGTTAATGAACACCTGGGCAGGAATCCATTCATGGTTCAGCCCATTAAGTCACACATTTCCTACGAATAAAATTGTGGCATGTTTTAGGTTAACCTGTGATTTCTACTGTTAATTTTGAGATGCAATGGATTTACAGACATCCCACTGTAAAAATATGGGTGCAATTTTCTTTTAGGTTGAGATAATTAAAACATATGAAGAACATTTATAAGGCTGGGACTTAAAGAAATATTGGTTTGGTCCTTTTGAGTACTGAATCCAAGGTATTAATAGAAAATTGGAGCACACTCCAGCCAAGTCCCAAGTAAATGATGCTTTAAACAATCAGATCTTTTCCACTGAAATTAATGGGCCTTCAGCATTCTTTTTCTGGCTGGACTGTGCTTTAGTTTTCTTTCTAGTGCAAAGCAATTAATACATGGCTTCAGTGCATTCTGAGATCCAAGCAACAGTATGGTAAAGCTACAGTCCCAAGAGCTGCTTTACAAATTTGCAAGCACTTGTGCCCACACAGTGTGCCTTTTCTCCTTTTTCCATTACAGCAGCCCTCCTGTGCTACATGGCAAATTGCTTTTGAAACCCCCTAAATCACTTTACAGAGCAATGACTGTACTTCTGTTAGGAACAAAAGCCATACTACATGCATAGATTGGTTCCCTTATGGTTTTTATGCTTTTTCATACTTGTGCATTATATGGTCTGTTTATGTGCGATCTTATCAATTAAGTGGTGATCAGGTGAATCTCATTATTCCAGAAATGTTGCTCATTGTTTTGCAACTTTTGCAATTCATCTGGTGTACATGGCACACATATAATCCTACTTTACTTTACAGGTTTCTGGGCTTATACCTTCTCCTTGGTTTCTTCTGTTGAATAGCTCTTTCCACTGTGTGTGTGTATGTCTCTGTAGTTGTATTAATCAGTTGTGTCAGATACACACATTGCTACATGAGAACAACATGATCTTTGGACAAAAGGAAGAGTGTTCTTTTTGATGTTTACAGGGAGAGGTGCCGAATGGCTTAGTCAAAGCTGTCAGTTTGATGCCAGTGCATTGTTCCTGGTGTTGAACCGGTGCCTTGAGATGATCAGTTAAGGAAGCAGGAGGCTGACAGGGCAGGAGAAGAATCTAAGAGGTCAGCTACGGAGGCATTCAGTAAAAGTTGTCTTGCAAATCTCTTCTTCTATGTCTGACTTCTGGCAGGGAGTCCAGAAAACTCTTTCCTGATAATTTCGTTAACTGTGAAGGAAAAGAGGAAGGAGATTAAAGGGAGGAAAGAGAAGCAGGGGATGCAAGGGAACTCAAAATGATGTCTTGAGTGTGTTTTGCTGTTAAAGCCAATTCAGAAAGCCCGTGTGATGTACTAGTTAGGAGGTTAGGCTAGCATGAGAAAAACCTGGGTCCCAATCTATGCCATTAAGTACAGCTGTGAAGCTCATGCAGTGGCTTTAGGTCCATCCATGTCTTTCAGTGTAACTTAGCTCATGGGATTATCACAACAATAATGTGTGTGCATGTGTGTAGAGGGAAGAGAACCACATACATTTTCCCAGAACTCCTGGGAAGAAAGGTTGACTAAAAACAGGCAATGGGATCTAACAATGCACCATTGCAGAATCATATATAAATAAAAGCTCAATGCAGGTATAATGCTGTTGGATTACCTAGTCTCAATTTAGGTGTTAGGGCAAAGTAGATGTGCTTCTGCACAGAGATGGCTGTTGTCGAAGACATCCTGGGTACCACAAAGGCAAATCTGTTCCTTAAAGTGAAATCCCCCTGCATTACTGTGCAGTCCCAATTCATTTCAAAAGGTGCTGCACAGGAGAACTTGCCAATGGATTGAGGCTCTTGTTAAATTGGGGAAGGGCTCAAAATGTCTCTCAGCAGTGTGGTCAAGGATTGCTGTTAAAGGTGATTCAGAAATGCTGCATCATGAAATATTGCATGAACCTTAATTTAAAAGCATCCATTGCCAAGACTAAGCAACCAAGCTTGCCCACGGATGCTGGAAACAGTAGCCATTCTTTGAGAGCTGTTAATCCCATTTACAATGCCTTAGAATATATTGCTATGACCCTTATTCCTAAGCAATAGTCACTTAAAGTCTGGGCCAAGCACGGGTGAAATCTGTACCCAGAGATCTCGTACAGGACCTATACCCAGCACTGTAATCCCTCCCTGTCTACTGACCACTACAAACCTTGCCAGGTCCCTTTTAGAGATTCCACTAGGCACTGACTCCTAGCATAGCCACCTATGTATCACCAACCAAGAGGGTAAAAGAGAATAGCTATGAGCAGAAAAAGTGCAAGTACTAATTTATATGCATAGATGCATATTTAGCACTTGACATGGATACAGTATATCTCACCAGAGTGGGAAAGACTGTGACCAGGGTACCAGATGCTACCTGTCTGACAGGCAACTTCCAGACTCCTGCTTTCCCTTCATATATATATGAACCAGACTTGGACTGGTCAGCTGTTCAGATAGAGAAATGACCCTTGTAAATGAGAGCATAGGACCACCCCTTTGTTCTGACATTGACAAGCCTGCTTTGCAGCAGTAAACATTTCTTCAAATAAACAAACAAACAAACCACATCAGGTGAGTTGTCAGGATGTTGAGCCCTGAGGCCATTTCCAAAACCAGAACTTTTTCTAACAGTTGAGGAATAAATGTGGGGCTACCAGTGACTGGGTGTTCCTCCCTGGCATGAAAAGAAGCTAATAAAGATACCACAGATATTCACAATTTTATTATGAATAAAAAAATCCACCACAGTCAGCATTTCCAAAATTCCATTGACATATTTGGCACCAGGCCTTTGCTTTCAGACTTCAGATGGAAGAAAAGAATCAAAGTAGGAAACAGAGAGCATTATTTTATTTCTAGCATGAGCAGATTTTTTTCTGCGTTCCCTGATCAATATGCAAAGTGTTGTTGGGAAAGATGCACAAGTGAATTTTGTTGAGCAGATGGCTTGTGCATGCATTGCCCAGTCACGTATTACACACCTGAGGTGACTGCAAGAACTACCGAAGTGCTGTACCAAAAAAACCCCGCAATCCTTCAGTAATTTCTCAAAATAAGTGGCAATGTGCATTTTCCCCTTCCAGTGATGCTTTCTATGCAGTCTCTGTGCGCCACCCCTGGTCTTTATGCATATCTTCCAATTGCTCACAGAAATCACAGCACATGTAAAAGTCAAAACTATATGAAAAATATCAGAACAGGATATACAACTAATGAAAAATAAGAAAATTTAGAACAACAAGAAAAACAGAAGAAAACAGCACCTTGAAGTGCAAGGGTAGGGACAAATTGTCCTCCCCTCTATCTGGTCCTTTCCCCAGATCCTCAAAAACACAACGTTAGTTTAGCAGGGCAAACACCCTCGAGCCCTGGCTACAGAGTCTGATTTGTTAGGGGTCTGATTACACTGAGAAAAGTTTCCTTCCATGCTAGTTTCTGGTTAGTAGCTGCTCTTGCTGTCAAAAGCAACCAAGTAGGGACGACTGGCAGAATGCACAAGCATGCTATTTGTGAGCAACAAGGCAGAATTCTCCAAAAGGCAGGATTAGCAGTGTATTTCAATGCAGCTAGTGTGTAAGCAGGTCTTCAGGGTGTTTTTCTTGTTTCTGACTAAAGCAGCTCTCCCCAGCTTGGCACTCTCCAGATTTATGGAACTGCAGCTCCATCAGGAAGGCACCAACTGAGGGAAGCGTAGTCCAAAGCAGCATTTTTCAGTCAGGGCTCCATGGAACCCTTCAGTTCCATGACATTCTCAAATGTTTAGGACCTCCATACCACCCCCAACCTCAGCTACTACACCAAGCTCAGGTTTCATTCTGCAATATTAATAAACTCTGAAACTGACATTGACTACTGTTTGCTCGGTCATGCTATTGACCAATTATATTCCAAGTTATGACTATAAATTAATACAACATTTGCATTCCAACTTTGTGATTGTGGCATATTACTAGTTTTTACTTTGTTGTTACTGCTTAAAAATTTTGTGGAGGGTGGGGAGTCTCCACACTACACCATGGCATATTACTAAAGGACTGTCAATTTGCCCCCCACAAAAAGCTCTAAAAGAACTGCAGTAAGGACCTGGTGCACATTTCACAACTGGAAGCATGCATGGGGAAATTGGCAATAGTTCAATAAAAAGAACCATGGACTCCAGTGTGTGTAACAAGGCTGACAACTCATTACCCCACCGAGGTTTTAGCTTTCAACACCCATCAGCCCCGGGCAGCATAATAAATGGGAGTTCTCAACCAAAATACCTGTAGGAACACAACGTGCTCTCCCTGCCCTATAAAGGTGTGCAAATGTTTATTAATTTGGTATATTTATATTCTACCCTATTCCCTGAAAGGAACCTGAGGCAGCTTACATAAGTCTTACCCTGCTGTTCTCCATTCTGTCTTGACAACAACCTGGACAGACAGACACTAGCCCAAAGCCACCCCGAGAGCTTTATGGCCAAGTGGGTTTCTCAAGTCCCAATCCAACAACCTAACCAGTACACTCCACTGAATGGATGTACTAAACCACAGTCTTGTCCAATTTGCTCCCCCTTAACTCTCTGGGCTTCTGAACAATTGCACAGTGGCACTGTGTTGCAAACAGAATCAGTGCGCCATATCCTATCATGATTACAGTCCAAGACACACTTTACAGCCCTCCTGGATTCAGGACTTAATCAGGCTTAACCTCGCTCTGCGTGAGCATCTGGGAACCTGCTTTCTTGTGTCTTTAAAAGGACAGCAGCCTTGACAAACTGCATTTGCTAGCACATCTGCTGCCTTCCTGGACTGCTGCAGTGTAAGGAAGCAGCCAGAGGGAGGTGAAATTGATCTAGTTTCATGAGAAAACTGAAGGCTGAAACGTTTTAAAAAGGCTTCCTGTTTTCTCTACCCAGGAAATGAGAAGAGCAGATCTTCAATGGAAATTTTTCAGTCTCTCGAGTGCTAAAAATAGCAGTTAGGTAAAAAGAGGTGGGCACCAACCCTAATGAGGGAGTGGAGGGTCATTTCCTTTCTGTAAACAAGTAGGATGAAGCTGCAGGGTGGTTTATTTATCAACACATTTTTTCACATACTTAAGTATAGCGAGAGAACAAAAAGCCCTGCATTGTGGGGACATTTCCTTTTATTTAATAAAATCAACCTGCTTGGAAATGTGACATTTTCCTGTTAGAATGCACCATGACAAGCCAAAAAAGAAAAGAGAAAAGTGTATGTGTGTGCAGGGAGGAGGAAATGGCTGGCTGGGATGAACAGTTTAAATCTGAGTGAAGAAAACCCCTAGTGGATTAAAAACAAGACTGAAATATCCTTATGAATCTTACTGAGGCAAGTGCTTTTGGGAATAGCATGAAGCACAATTTCAGAGTAGCACAGCCTTGTAAATAAGCCCACAAAAAGTGTTAGTAGCCAAAAACTGTATGCTAGCCCATGAAGAGGCTTGCTGCAGAAGCCTCCCCTGTCACCACCTTTCCATACAGGCTCCTAGACTCTGTTTAAAGGAAGGGTTTGACCCTCTTTTACCAGCTTGCTTGATTTCTCTGCTGGTCATGGAAGAAAAGATGGCGAGTCCTCCTTCCCCCACCAGCTCACTCAGTCACCTGTATGGAATTCCATGCACTCGCCTATATGAAATTCCTAGTCACCTATGATGACCTGGCCACTCCTTAAATACAAGGCTGGAGTACTGCTCCAAAGTCCGAGGGAAATTAATGGGAATCAACCTTCTTTGGTTTCAATGGGCTTTAGTCACGTCCAATTTCTTTTTGACTATAACTACAAGATGCAATTCTGCACAACGGCATGCGAAAGTAAAAGCCTACTGAGGTGATAGACCTGTACCACTTCAGATTAGAAATGGAAACCATTATAACTGGATGCTTCTTCATAGCACCACTTTTACCATCTTGGCATTCCAATAAAGAATCCTTACACACATAAGTTGTCAAGGAGAAGGGTTCTAGATGAACTCAGTGGAAGTCTCTGATTATATGTGTGTGCGTGTGTGTATGTACATGCACAGACCTCTATGTATGTGCAGAGCTCCTCCTGACATTGAAATTAATGGGAAAACTTACTTCTACAGAAGTGGCACAAATGCACTAGATCAAGAGCACAGCTGTTGACAAGGAATGTGCTAAAAGGAGGATAACATCTCCTCTCCCTTGCAAATATCAGTGATATTACTGTGAACTTGTCTAAAAGGCACCAGCACAATCCTCAATATGCTTTCTGGGAAGCAAGTCCCCATTGAGTGGAGCTTGCTGTTTCCTAGTAAGCATGCTTAGGATTGCAGACTGGAGGTGTCATAACCTTTGTTACAGCACGTCACAGAATTTATGGACCCTGTTGGACTGGCAGATGTCTGGGTAGGCATCTTCTGTGTTCTGTAGAAGATCAAGGATATGTCTATTTGTGATTGTTTTCTAGCACTGCTCTGCAACACCAATACTCTCAGTTAACCAAGAGACAACAGAATAGCTGTAACGTGCAGAATTAATTGAGCCACTGCCTTCAGCAGTCAACCATGGTTGGTCATAGCCCCAAGCAGCTCATCTGTAGAGGTGACTGGATCAGGAAAGTGGCAATATGGAGTTGGGCTGAAAGTCTGACAAGGAGCTTTGTGGTTGATTGGATGAAAATACATAAAGCTGTAGAGAACCACTGTTAAGCATTACTTTTGTTACTTCTCCGAGTTACTTTCCCCAGACCCCACCAAGAACTGACACCTACAGAATGAAGCTTTTGAAAGTTCAGGTTTAAGCACATCCTAATCTCCAGCATATGATTGGCAGCACACTTATCTAAACCCGAGTGCCTGCGGGTGTGACTGACTAATAAGCTGCACACTGGTGTGTTACTGTGCTTGGGGCCCATGTTACATCCTGATGCAATTGTTAGGTAATTGGAATTATGGTGCCAGCATCACTTCAGACGTCAGTGTCACAATGAAGTGTGGGCCCTTTCAACAGCAACAGCAACAGCAACAGCAGCAGCAACACAATGCAACTCAGACCAAAAATTTAAATCAGAGCGGGTAGAGCAATCAATTCAAATGTGGTTAACTCATTGGTGGGGTCTAATTTTCATCAGCAAACTAAGTACTTGTTAATGTTTGCAAATCCTTTTGGCAGGAACTGCAAATGAAAACATTACATAAAACATATAGTTGTGT